CCTAATTATATACTTCGTATATTATAGGAATGTATTACAAAAGCTTCTAAGTCAAAAATAAAATTCATTACACAAATAAATGTTTTTGTTCCTAAAAATACTTGGTATCATAAGCCATACAAAACAATTCTTTAGGCATTGTTAAAAGAAAATTTTAATTTTTAATTCTTGGCTTTTGTGAGGAAGGTAGAAAGTCATCTAGTTGTGTTTCGTGTGTAGCTCTGCCGTTGTGGCTCAGTCTACAGATATGAGGATTGAAGGGTATCTTTTACGGAGTATTAGATACTAAATTTCAAGCCCGTGCGATGCACGGGCAGTACATAATTTAGTTAATTTTGAATATGATTTTTTTGGAATCAAATATAATGTGATGCAACAGAAAAATAAATTCAGTCTAAATATAGAGTTCGTTTGATAATACTAAAATAGGTGGAATAGGCTTATTTTATTGAAACTGATTAAAGCTGACTTAATGGGCTGAATAGACGGAATCTCCTAAATCATGAACAAAATTAAAATATATTCCATTTGTAAAATAATAAAGAAAAAATTATATAAATATGACAGAAAAATATGAAGTATTAACACAATTGCAAATCTGTGGCTTAAAATTTTATTCATGATTTCAACATTGAGTTTAGAAGAATAAAATATTACGGAGTATATTTTAGGAAATGGGACACTATTATTAATTTTTTTATATAAAATCATTTTGAAGACAAAATAAATAGCAAAACAAAGATATTTCATTCGTCAATAGAATGTAACAAAAGATAAAAAGAATAAAAATAATCAAATAATTTTTACTCCATGCTTATAAAAAGTACTCCGTATAAATTGTAGTCTAAGTGTAGGTTCAGTTCGTATACCATACGACCGGCCCACTATGAGCATAGTACACCCGCCACCAATACGACATAGTTCTAGCAGTTGGCCTCATTATTTTTTATTTCTCTCTTTTTTTTAAATGGTAATAACTTTTTTATTTTTGATCCGATTTTTATAAAATTTATATCAACATTTTTTATTTTTCATGATCTTTCAAATGAGACCAATATTGCCTATGTAATTTTAACATATTAACATTTGCGTGTACAAATATGTAACTTTACGTGTTAAAATATGTAACTCATGTTCAGTCAGGCCAAATGCAACTCGTGTGTAAAAATATGTAACTCTACGTGTATAAATATGTAACTTTACGTGTAAATATATGTAACTCGCGTTCAGGCAGGTCAAATGCAACTCGTGTGTATATATATGTAACTTGCTTATAAAAAGATGTAACTCGCTCATAAAAAGATGTAACTCAATTATCAAATGTAACTGAGGCCACTGATCCACTCCCAAACAGATTCGATCTTCTATTCACAAACTTATCATCTCCCTGCAATTCATATGCAACTCATGTGTATATATATGTAACTTGCATGTAGAAATATGTAACTTTACGTGTAAAAATATGTAACTTCACGTATAAAAATATGTAACTCACATGTATAAATACATAATACAATAAATTTTTTATATACACAATTTTAAGATAAATTGTGATTTACACAATTATTTTTCTATATTAAATTTAGTTCGATTTTCTTTATAATCCAATACTCATTAATATAATTGTTCGATAATTTCTTAAAATTTCATAAGCAATATTGGTCTCATTTGAAAGATCATGAAAAATAAAAAATATTGATATAAATTTTATAAAAATCGGAGCAAAAATAAAAAAGTTATTATCATTTTTTAACAACAAAAGCAAAAAAAAAAAAAAAAGAAACCAGGCACTCCGTCGTTTTGAATGAAGCGTGCGTCGTTTTGCAACCGGGCGCACCATCCTCATGGTGCGCCGGTTGCACGGTATAAATTGCGGTGTAGGTTGGTTATTAATTGTTGTGTTCCAATAATTATCAATTACGTAAAAGGTTTTTGAAAAAGTTACCAAATAAAGTTGATTTTATCATACAATCTTTTATTTCCATATCAATATGCATTAAATATAGAATCTAATAGAATAAATAAAAAATATATGATGGATGACATGGCAAGATTATGTGGCGCTTTGTATGCTCTTAAAAAGTTCCTCTTTTATATATATATATTGATTTAGAGTATAAGGAAATGATTTAGTCAGGCGCACTTGACAAAATGATCTGGTCAATTTTTTTATAAAATTTTGTGGGCATGCTCTTCATAAAGATTAGATTATTTACACAAAATTTCAATTTCTAATTCAATTAAGAAGTTAGTTAAATAAATTATTAAAAAACATTGTGATATTTAAACATACATAAAGCACACTGTTTTTCAATAATTTATTTAACAGATTTTCCGATTGAATTTTAAGTTGACATTTTTTTGACCTAATCTACACTTAAAGAAAAACATGCTCACAAACTTTCATCAAACAATTTCATCTAGAAGCGTCTCAAATAGATTTGTGGGTCAGAGGTGAACGAGACTCAATATATATATATATATATATATATATATATATATATATATATATATATATATATATATATATATATATATATTACTCCTAAATAATTCATGGGCCCCTCTTCCTGGTGGGCCCTGGGCAGCCGCCCATCCTGCCCCTATATCAGGACCGGCCCTGAGTCCTCTTAGGCTATCCGCAATGCAAGGAGTTAAAACCCCATATTTGAAGTTTTGACTCCAAAAATGGTACAACCCAAAAAAAAAAGTAGAGTGAGGAGCCATTGTGGATTGGGAGAACCTCATGGGAGGGGAATATAGGCGGTGGATCGCCCCAAGAGAGAGAGGAAGGGAGCAAGCCGCGGGTTAAGAAAATGTGAGGGGCCCACATTAAATTAAAATCCCAATTTTGTAAAAAAAATAGTGTAACTTTTTTATTTGAAATTCAATTTTTATAAAAAATATATCAAAATTCATATTTTTTTATGAACTTTCATATGACATCAATATGCCATATATAACGTGTTATAAAAAATATGAGGTTTTATCTGATGGAGAGATTTTCAGGCCTAAATTTTTTCTTAAGCATATAAGTTCTAAAATTAATGATATAACAATATTATTACTCAATTAATTTATATTCACCTAGTAATAGTATATGAAATGATAAATTAATAATATAGCAATAGTATATTCAATAGTTTTAAATTTATTCCAAATTAAACTCAAGTGGGCATTTTTTATACTTACAAAAATATTAATTCACATTTTTTTTATTTTTTTTACATCGGAATGTGTGACTTTTTAAATAATAATTATTGGTAAAAATAAAATTATCACATTAGTGATGTGTAATAGAAAAAAGTAAGGATTTATGCATTTACATAAAAAAATGTGTTGAATGAATATATTGACAGTGCTGGGTTGCAGAGAAAAACTGAATTGACTGAGTGAATACATATAAAGTGGTGTGAGATTAGATTTATTGACGGGCAAGGTTGCGGTTAGCCTTAGGGTTTGGCACGGGTTTTAATAATAAAGTAGTAGGGTAAGTATAGAGTGTGTAGGGTAAATGATATAGTAGGAAAGATGATATATTAAAAACAGTAAAGTGATGATAAACTAGCAAAGAGAGTGTATTAAGAAGATTAAAGTGATGGTAAAGTAGGAAAGAGAAAGTAGTTTGTAAAAAGTAAGTGGGGTAAAAGTAATAAAAGTGAGAGTATTTTCTCAAAAACTTTCCTTAAAGGGAAAGGAGAACAAATAAAAAAAACGTCCCAAAAAGAAAAGAAGGATTCATAAAAAAAGAACGGAGGGAGTATATATAAATGATAAATGACTGTGAAATAGTTCTAAATACATAATCAAAATAAAAATAATAGACAAAAATGTGACCAAGTAACTTTTAATAACTATAATCATATTTTAATTTTTTTCTTCATAGTGATTTTAAAACTTACTGATAATAATTTATAGTCACATCTTTGCCGAATTTATTATTAGCAATATTTTAGCACGGAGCAATATTATTTATAGTTTTGGTTTTGTTTACGGAGTACTATTTTAAACTATCCGGATTTTTCGTCTGCAACTGTGTGTCTGTGTGTAGCGAGTGATAGTTTTAAAGTTTGGTTCAGCTTTGAGGCGAAATGAAATCAATATTGTTCTTTCATCTGGATTAGGACATGACTCTCATGAAAGTACTCGCAAGTTGCACCTAGACATTTTCACAAATCAAATCCTTTATCCCACGACAATAACAAATTAAATAAGGATCGTAAGAACAAAAACTCATGAATAAAATAGGCAATATATAATTGCACAAGCTTCGTTTAGGTCAAATCAAGAAAATCATGACATGAATTATTACTGGTGGGGCTCAACTGGTAACGAGGGAGTGTTACAAGGTTTAAGTCTTGGGTTCGAATCCCGGCAACTGCGATGAGGGGTTACTATGCTGAAAAATGCATAGGACTTCTGCAAGTACCGGGGACAGAGCCTCACTCTCTATCTGTCAGATTGCGATTATAGTCCAATTTACATCCTCTCATCGTGCCATCCGGTCGATGTTGGGGGCCCTCAGGGATGGGGTGTCATCCTTTTCCTCATCTGTAACAAAAGAGAATCTCCCCACTTTAAGGGGCGGGAGCTGATATTAGAGTGTTTGAGTAGATGTGCCGAAGTACTTTTGAGTACTAAGTTGCTCATAGAATCAATTTTTAGAAGTTGGTGGGGAGCTCCCCACTTTAAGGGGCGGGAGCTGATATTAGAGTATTTGAGTAGATGTGCCAAAGTACTTTTCTGACTGTATTGGCTGAAGTTACTGTAGATGACCATTTTAACTATTTTTACATATAATTTTTTCTTTATTTTATTAATAAAATATATTTTAAAAATAATTTTTTCTTAAATCAACAAAATCAGCCAATGTAGCCACTTCAGTCAGAACTTCATAAATTTCAGCAGAATCAGCCAGAACAGTCAATTTTTGTGCTACCAAACGGCTCTTCATTTGTCACAAAGAGCTGGCATTTCAGACCACTATATGATGTAGGCCAGTAAGGTTGAGACCAATAGTCACACTACTCATGAAGAAAGCCTCAACAAAGTTGCCTATTTCACAAAATCAAACTTGTGTATCATTCCCTTCAGGTTCCTAGCTAGAACAGATCCCATAGTGTCGCCTTGCTTTTTGAGGAACAAATAAAAGCCGCTAGTTCCTCTTATCCTGTTCGTACCACCAACTTTCACTTTGGCATTTTAATCCATCCTTTTCTATAAAAGCAGAGGATGATAAATCATGCTATATAATCACCATATTATATGCTTGGCTTTCCCACCGGATTCCCATATATATAAAGACCGAAATCAATCATCGTATACTGACAGCATGGAAAACCGCCGCCAGAAGAGCAATTCCGGCGACAAGTTCTCATTCCCGATCATGGGCACACCGGAAAAGGAACCCGAAGACGGGGAATTTGAATTCGGGTGCATTTCAACCTCGCCGGAAGCCTCCCCCAACTCGCCGGCCGACCGGCTCTTCTTCAACGGAAAGCTAATGCCCCACAACTTCCCGTCGTCCGGACAACCAGCGGCGGTCACGGACGGATTCTCGTATTCGCGATCGACGAGCAGCGTCAGCAGCGGCAATATTAGGAGAGTGGCTATTTTATTAAGTTTAATATAATAGGATGGTAATATAATAGAATATTTTATTCATAGAAGTAGTATCCCACTGAGATTACTTTCCTTATTTCTTGTTTGTATTGCTGGACTTGTAGTCACGGCTCTAGCTATTTATCTAGCATGTACTCGGTTGTTTGAGGGAAGAAAAGAAGAAGTCATATTAAATTATTGCACACAGTATATAGTTTAACATGGTATCAGAGCATTAAACCTTGCCATGGCCGTTGGAGAAGAGGAGTCTGCTCGACACACTCAAGAGAAAACTTTTTGGCATGGAAAAGGACATGCTAAGATCGTTGGGCATGGGAAACTTTTGGCCAAGGCGCATGCCATGATGGCCGACCCTCCTGGACAGCAAGGAACCACGAGTAATGCCAAATCAGGTACAGGGGACGTTGTACCATTGCCTGGCTTTTCTCCCAAGCAATGGAAAACATTAATCTCGGCTTTTGGTAATACTCAATCATCTACTAGTCGGATGACAGGTGAATCTAGTATGTGCCCGTGGATTATAGATACTGGAGCTACAAATCACATTTGTAGCGATTTGAAGCTTTTATTCCGTATACAGACGATAAAGTCCTGTTCCGTTGGTTTACCAGACGGAAAAACTGTTTTGGCTACTAAAGAGGGGTGTATTAAATTTTCAGATGACTTATATTTGACAAATGTGCTTTTTGTGCCCCAAATGAACTGTAATCTCATATCTGTGACACAATTGAGCGATGCCCTTGATTGCTTTGTTCAATTCACTTCTGACGTGTGTGTTATACAGGATCGAGTCTCGAGGAAGCTAATTGGAGTGGGTGAGAGGAGGAATGGGTTATACTATCTTCGGGAGTCACCGACAGCTCAAATTCTGATGATTGATGGTGGCAAACAGTCATCAACATTTGATATTTGGCACAAGCGCATGGGACATCCATCTGGAAAAGTGATGCATTGGTTGGCACCTGTGAGTGATTTAAAAGGATCGTTTTCTTCTGCATGTGACATTTGTTTTAGAGCAAAGCAGACTAGGGATTCTTTTCCAGATAGTAATAATAAAACCAGTCGTATTTTTGAGTTGATACATTGTGACTTATGGGGTCCATACAATACCCCTTCTTCCTGTGGAGCAAAAATGTTTTTAACAATTGTTGATGATTATTCACGAGCTGTTTGGATATATTTGTTGCTGGACAAAACAGAGGTTTTTAAAATGTTTATGGCATTTATTGCAATGGTGGAGCGACAATTTTCAAAAAAGGTGTGCATTGTTCGCAGTGATAACGGAACGGAATTTAATCGCTTGAAACAATTTTTCCGAACTAGTGGTATCATTTTTCAGACCTCTTGTGTTGGGACACCACAACAAAATGGACGGGTTGAGCGCAAACACCGACACGTTCTTAATGTGGCACGTGCATTGCGGTTTCAAGCCAATCTTCCCATAAATTTTTGGGGAGAATGTGTGTTGACTGCTGCTCACCTCATTAATCGTACTCCCTTGTCGGTCCTTAATTTCAAGACCCCTTATGAAATTCTTTTTGGGGTTTCACCTTGCTATCAATCCTTGCGTGTTTTTGGATGTCTTTGCTATGTGCATAATCTTAAATCAAAGGGTGATAAATTTGCTAGTCGTAGCCGCAAATGCATTTTTGTTGGCTATGTTTTTGGTAAAAAGGGATGGAATGTGTTTGATTTAGAAACACATGAATATTTTGTATCTCGGGATGTTAAATTTCTTGAAGATCAGTTTCCGTTTGCTGAACCCATACCCGCCAATACCTCAGAGTTTACTGATCATGAGCACTTGGATTATGCTCTACCGAGTATGTATGATGACATACTGGACATGGGTGCTGCAGACCATCCCACTAGCATCCCTCGGGAAACAACTTTAGCAGAAGCAAGTTCTCTGACTAATTCTTCTTTAGACCACGTTCAAAGTGATGCACCTGCTTCTAATTTGGAGGATCAGCCGTCTGGAGATACCAATTTTGGCCGCGGTTTGCGCACAAAGCAACCTTCTGTGCGTTTGAAGGATTATGTTACTCATACAGTGATACGAAAAAATCCCATTCCTCCCTCTTCATCTCCTTCCGCTTCCTCAGGTACTCCTTTCCCTATCTCACATTATGTCAGTTGTGATAATTTTTCTGTGGCACACCGTGTTTTTCTGGCAGCTATTTCTTCTGGCACTGAGCCTCAATCCTTTCGTGAGGCCGTCAAACACCCGGGCTGGAGGGATGCTATGCAGGTTGAAATACAGGCTCTTGAAAAAAATTCTACTTGGACTTTAATGCCACTTCCTTCTGGAAAGCGGGCATTGGGCTGTCGTTGGGTTTATAAAATAAAATATCATTCTAATGGTACTGTAGAGCGCCTTAAGGCGCGATTGGTTATTTTTGGCAATCGTCAGGTTGCTGGTCTTGATTATACTGAAACTTTTGCGCCGGTGGCTAAAATGGTCACCGTGCGTGCTTTTTTAGCTGTTGCTGCTTGTAAAAATTGGGAGCTACATCAAATGGATGTTCATAATGCCTTTCTGCATGGAGATCTTAATGAAGAAGTGTATATGACTTTGCCTCCCGGCTATGCTACTCAGGACACCACCTTGGTATGCAAGCTTCGAAAATCTTTGTATGGTCTTAAACAAGCACCCCGTTGTTGGTTTGCCAAGCTTGTTAATGCCTTACAGGGTTATGGATTTATCCAGTCGTTCGCGGATTACTCTCTTTTTACGCGAACGCGTGGTACAATTCAATTAAATGTTCTTGTTTATGTGGATGATCTTGTTATTTCTGGGAATGATTCTGACGCCATTGCTTCCTTTAAAGCTTATCTTAGTGATTGTTTCCATATGAAGGATTTGGGAAATCTTAAATACTTTCTTGGTATTGAAGTTGCTCGTAGCTCTTCCGGATTGTTTCTTACTCAACGGAAGTATGCTTTGGATATTATTACAGAAACAGGATTGCTTGGCGCTAAACCTGTAGCATTTCCCATCGAACAAAATCACGACCTTGCTAAAGCAGTGGGTCCTCCTCTCGCGGATCCAGAACCTTACCGACGTTTATTGGGTCGTCTTATTTACTTGGTGGTTACACGGCCTGACTTGGCATATGCGGTTCACATTTTGTCTCAATTTTTGCAAAATCCACGACATGAGCACTGGAATGCCGCACTTCGAGTTGTGCGCTATCTTAAAGGTTCTCCTGGCCAGGGAATACTTCTTCGCGCCGATGGTGATCTTACACTTACAGGATGGTGTGATTCAGATTGGGCCGCATGCCCTCTTACCCGTAAGTCTTTATCTGGTTGGTTAGTGTTTCTTGGTCATTCTCCGGTTTCTTGGAAGACTAAGAAACAGACTACTGTGGCTCGTTCTTCTGCTGAAGCCGAATACCGGTCTATGGCTGCAGCTACTTGTGAGTTAAAATGGCTTAAAGCCTTGCTCCTTAGTTTGGGCATTCATCACCCTCAGGCTATTCCGCTCTACTGTGATAGTCAGTCTGCTCTGCATATTGCTCGTAATCCTGTGTTTCATGAACGCACTAAACATATTGAAGTGGACTGCCATTTTGTTCGCAATGCTATTCAAGAAAATCTAATTGCTCCCAGTTATGTTCCTACTACTATACAATTGGCTGATATCTTCACCAAAGCTCTGGGAAAAACTCAATTTCAATTTCTTCTTCGCAAGTTGGGCATTCTTGATCCGCATGCTCCAACTTGAGGGGGAGTATTAGGAGAGTGGCTATTTTATTAAGTTTAATATAATAGGATGGTAATATAATAGAATATTTTATTCATAGAAGTAGTATCCCACTGAGATTACTTTCCTTATTTCTTGTTTGTATTGCTGGACTTGTAGTCACGGCTCTAGCTATTTATCTAGCATGTACTCGGTTGTTTGAGGGAAGAAAAGAAGAAGTCATATTAAATTATTGCACACAGTATATAGTTTAACAGGCAAGGACTCGATGATGTCATCCCGGAGCAACAGCGGCAGCAGCTCCGGCGGCAGCGCCAGAACCAGCGCCAGCGGCGAGTCGGCTTTTAACGTTAATATCAGACGATTAGCTATCATTAATGTTAATAATAAAAGTAAATGGGCCCATTCTGCCAACAGGCCGCTTCCGAGTTCTAAGCCAAACCTCCTCCCGGCTTCTAAGAAATCGCAGTTCATGGCTGCTCCGGCCCATGGGCCGGTTCATCTCAGGAATAAGCGGCCCGGATCTGTCTCGCTGGGGAAAGGACATAATAGTCATGAAGTTAAGCAGGAAAGTGATGATGAAGGAAGTGGATCTCCGCCGTGGTTTGGTCGGAGGATTTTAAGGTCAATTGTATCCTCTTGCAAAGAATGTCATGCCATTCCACCCACAACTAAGCAGGCCAAAAATATTGTTATCTCAACAATTTAGAAAGTGTGGCTAAGGGTTGAAAGGGCAGTACTGTATTTTCACAACTCTTTTCTGCAACATCTTATCATTATCGGGACGAAACTTGATAGAACAAATTGTTGTATTTGGACACATTTTTTCCCTAGTTGTTCCTGTCTTTATCAAGTCGGAATACGAAATAGCGTAATGGTGCATCTTGCGCCAGTGTAACACACTTCCGGATACATTGAAAGTGAAGGATCGAGAATGAGAACAACATATTTTGAATGGGGTCCATCTATTTTGTTGTTCTAACTACCATGAAGTAATTATTGGAATGGACGGATTGAATTTGACACAGATCATAACATGTTTTTGGCAGACATTACAAATAGTTGGTGACAAAATAGCATTAGCATGCTATGTTGCACGGAAACGCAAAAATTATTAGGAAGCAGGAAACACCAAATTTTGCTCAAAAACACTTCTTTGGAGAATTTTCATAGTGTCTGAAACGGACACGTTTTTTTTCTCGAGAGTTTCCATGCTACATAGTTGACACAAATTTGGCATTTAAGCTACATATTTTTTCGTGCCAAAGATGTCTATCAAGTCCATGTGAATAATTGTTTTTTTGTAGTGATTGATGCACTACCTATGTAAGAAACACATCTTTGTTTGGCTGCAATTTCACTTGTGACCGTTTTTGTTGATTTTTATGTAGTCATTTCACATGGGATAGATGCTGAACGTCAAACAAAATCATTTGCCCAAGTGGTTATAACTTATAAGGTTAATGATACTCCGGACTCCGTAATATTCCCACTCTTCTTCATGATTATTCAAACGAGAATGTCTTTTTTTTCTTTTTGATAAATTCAAACAGGAATGTTGTTATGCTCAATCTTTAATTTTTGTCTGCTTGATACGACAGTATTATACATCAAAGACTGCGCCTGGTCAGCTATTTTCTTAAACATCCTTAATTAGTCGTAAATACGAAGAATGTATTCTGCTAATGGCAAAAATTGGTGAATGCATAACTAGATAAATAGCATATATATCAATGCATGTTCAATTTTTTGGGCAGCCATTGTCTTTTCTTGAATATTCTAACTATATTTTCTCCTTCATGGCTTAATAAAAATATCTTATTTATAGTCCATTTTCAAAACGTGAATTAAAGGTTATTTTACATGCTTTTAGTCAGTTTTTTAATATGTGACATTTCGATGAAAATTAAGCCATAGTCGATCTAGCTGCAGAGCTACCTTTAGTGCCTTATTAGTGGCAGGAACATATTATGTGCCTAAACCAAGGCATCACAAAAATTGAAATAGTATTACTCAATACTAGTATAAACTTTAGGATTGACTAAAGTATTCAAGAATTTATGAACCAAATAGTTAATAGGCCGGGTATTTCTTGTTGATTTTGAAATCTTGTACAAGAGCACCAACTAGCCAAATAAACTATATCAATATATATGGCCTATGACCTTTTTATTTACTACATAGCATCTTTGCCTTTTCCAATAAAAATTGGTAAACTTTAATCAATTGTTTTATCATATACTATCGTATGTTTCTGTGAAACTTAATAAATTTATCCTTTTATGATAGTATTTTTAACAAAGAGCATTCACATATCATTATCATATTATCAATGAATAAATATGTAATCAGTTAAAACTTAACATCATTACTTGAAAGACGATTTTGACCATATAAAAAGGGATGTGGTGAGTATAATTTCTTTTTAGTTTCATGTATTTATTGAAGACCGGTCTAGGAGACAATAATATTTTTTTTTTTCAAACAGCTCTAAGACAAATAAAGAAAATTAAATGAGATTGTAAATGTTGATTTGAAAAATGAGAGAAAAATCAAAACGACAATAAAAATGTACACACTGCTAATGAAGATGTCGATTTAAATGATAATTCGTCTTTTTGTGCTATACATATCAACACTTTCTTGTTGGTATGTCAGTAACGTCACTATATTTTCTTCTTCAAATTATTAGTAGTATATACTCCGTATATTATAGTAAGATGATAAGATAACATGATTTCCTAGTTGAAATTATGCCTAGATACAAACATTTTCAGAAACTACCTTGATAGTACTATACACTACAAAATATCGAGTGAAAAGCGACGGAGATAGGAACGGCAAAATCTTAATTTTCCGCCGGTACCAAAATTACCAACGGAATCCCAACGGAAAATATCCGCCGAAATAGCGTGGTCGGAAAACTGAACGACGGATCGCAGCGACGGTTTTATAAAATTAGCTACGGATCAGGAGCGGTAATATCCGTCGGTGATAGCGACGGTATTTATCGTCGAAAAACAAACACGCGTGGACTTCCAAAACTGCAGCGTGAATGTCAAATACCTGCGGTTTATTCCGTCGGTGAGTTAAATAAAAAAAATAAGTTTAATATACCGACGGCTATAACCGTCGGCAATGTGCTGGGAAATTGAAATCAAATTGTTGGTTCCAACCATTTTATCCGTTGGGAAATTAAAATCACATTATTGGTTCCCAACCTGCGGTGGACTATTTACATCCTGCTTCTGTTTCTCAGGTTCCAGGGTATACTACCATTCACAAACAACATCCTTTTCACAATACTACAATAGCATTCACAAACACATTTTTAACAAACGTATTTTTCATAATACCATTCAGAACATCCTTCTCACAATACTATTCAATCCAAAATATCATAATTGTCATGCATTAGAACTTAACAAAAACATGTAATTTAAAACATCATCCTTCATACGCATTCCAAAATAAATAAATTGTCATGGGCATTAAAAGAAATTGTTCATATTCAAATCAGTCTTCAATGATGCCCTTCATCGTCATTATTGATCCCTCCACTAGCCACTGGCCAATAGATTATCGATAAAAGCGTTATTGTCTTCTTGGGAGTTGGTTGTGTTTTGAAGAGGAACAAATGGAACAGTTGCAGGTTGAGTAGATGGTTGCCCCGACATGACATGATTTGCAAACTGAATAGGATAGTAAGGTGGAGGTTGGGACAAAGAAGCCTGTGGAACACCGGTGAAGGGATTAGGAAAGGTAGATTGGCTTTGTTGAGACAAAGTAGGTTGTCCTTGTTGGAAAAACATGCAAGGCATCTGTTGGGGGATTCCAGAAGAAGGCTGACCACCCCCATACCATGGGTATGGGTTCATAGGTGAAGGCCACATATTATTCCCTTGCACTTTTATTTGTTCTCGCAATTGCTTCACTTCTGCTTGGCAATTCTCCACCGTTTTCACAAGTTTATCAATGATGTCTTGGTCAGAAGATACACACTTTCTAGGGTTCAAAGATCCTGTGCTCAAAAACTCTGGGGCAAGAGAGCCCACTCCCATAAGCCTTCCCCGATTCGGTTGCACAATTTTCAAATACAATGCATTCTTGTCAACTACAGCATCTGGCCCTTGTGTATTTTTTATTTCTGCTGCCCCAAGTTTGAGTTTTTCCTAGTATACAATAATTGAAGAAATAGACAGTAAAATATAGCCCATCATATAAGTTTGCAAGTTGGTAGAATATGAATAAACGATAGTACTATAAATAGATCAAAGGGACTTTTAAATCCATGCGAAGAGTTCTAAATGAATTTGATTTGAGTGGTTTAAGATTCAATTAGTAAAACCATATATATTCTGGATCATTTAACCCTTTTATCTTCATATAATGTTTACTACTAAAGCAGATTAAAAACATCTAGTTCAGTTTAAGCAATTTTAAAACAATTGTTTCTTTAGCACATGTGTTACTTGATAAAATGTTTATGTGTGTGTGTCACTGATATATCTGGCTTAATTTATCAAAACATTAAAAACAGAATTCTACATTTAAATGAATGCAGTTTTGATATAGAGCACTTTGATCTTTTGGCGCTCTTGATGAAAAAGTGTCCAAATCTACTTCAACTAGAAATTTTACCAAAAGAGGTTGTAATATCCAGCAATTTAAAACCTTTATTTATTTGGCTACTGTGGCCCAATACACATGTTTTAATAAACCATTCTTTAAACTGTGTTGTAGTTTATTTCTAAAGATGAGATAGAAGCTGCTGCAAAGGGTTAAAATGATCCAGAATATGGCTTTACTAATTAGGGCATGCAATTAAGAATGGCAAGGCTAAGGACATGGCTGGAATTCATTCCAAACTTGCTGCGAATTAAAGGGATACAAGAGGTTAGCTAAGGAGAGCTAGAAGAAACTGAGGCAAACTTGCAGCTTTTGTTCAACATTATGAAGTGCTTAAGAAAGCAAAAACTTACAGCTATAGCACGGATTCGTGGTCCACTAAGCTGTCCAGTTTTCTTCAGAGTGTAGCTATCATTCAAAACGTCTTCTGCATCAGGTGTCCTCCCTAAACTTTCTTTCTAGAAAAAGGAATTGATAGTCATTTAATGAAAAAATAAAAAATATATCATACACACAATAATGATACTCCAAAGTTGGTATTAACTAACCAGCCGGGTTGCTCTCACCGGAGCGGAGATTGAACCTCCACAATATGGAGAACTCCTACAAGCCTCTGTGTTGGCATTTTTTTTTATTTGTTTCACATAATTTTTTAAAAGCCGCTGAGCCCCACTTACCCATCATTTCTGCCCAATCCTCATCAGATATCCACTTCGGACCCATATTAGCCTTTCGGGCAGTGCAAAAGAATTCTTTCAACCATTTAGAGATGCGACTATTGAACTTCTTCTTTATCGCAATTGCTTCACATTGGCGATAAGTGTGTCGCACCTACATTTCATATAAAATAGCTTCACATCACCTCAATAGCAGTTGGTATCATAGCTACACGAGAAAATAGTTGAAGGCCTGTCAATCTAGATGGACGACGACTACGTTCTTCTTTTCCACTTTTAAATGAATGAACATCCCTACGATATGGGTGTTTTTGTGGTAGGAATTTTCTATGACAATCAAAGTAACAAGGCTTACGCCCATACTTAAGCCAAGTTGCTTGGTTGCCCTCCATACAAATAGGGCAGCCCAAAATTCCTGCTGTACTCCAACCAGACAACATTCCATACGCAGGAAAGTCACTAATTGTCCACATTAAAATGGCACGCATTTGAAACATGACATTATCTACAACGTCATACGTTACTGTACCCTCATCCCACAAATGTTGCAGTTCATCAACTAGTGGTTGCAGATATATATCAATTTTCTTTTTTGGGCATATTGGTCCAGGAATAATGAGAGACAAAAACATGAAAGGATATTTCATGCACATACCAGGGGGCAAGTTGTATGTTGTAAGAATGACGGGCCAACAGGAGTATGATGCACCATATTGTCCATGGGCTGCAAAACCATCAGAACATAAACCAAGACGGACATTTCGAGGCTCAACTGCAAATCCTGGATATGTATTGTCAATGTGTTTCCATGCTTCACTATCACAAGGATGACCCATTATAGTCCCAATTGCCTCATGTGTGGCATGCCACCTCATCGCTTCAGCTGTTTGACGCGATGCATACAACCGTTGCAATCTTGGTGTTAAGGGCAAATATCTCAACACAGACACGGCAGTCCATTTTCTTTTTTTTGTTTTACATTGTTCTTCCTCCTCCAACTTATAGCGATTCGCACCGCAAAAAGAGCAATGTGTTAACTCTTTATCACCCTTCCAAAATAACATACACCCATTTGGACAAGCATCAATATTTATCACGGGAAGACCCAACGGTTTTACAAGTTTTTTGGTCTCATAGAAATTACGCGGGGCCGTGTTTTCACGAGGTAAGTATCGACCAAATAATTCTAACCACCTATTCACTTCATCCTGAGGTACATTGAAATCTGATTTTATACTCATTACCTCAGTGACGAACTGTAATTGAGAGCCTTCTAGACATCCTTCATATAAAGGTTTATCTGCTGCTTGTAGAACATTATGGAACTGGTCTGCCAAATATGATACTTCATTTACATTTGGCGATACATTATTGTAAGCTGCATCAGTGGTTTCTGGACTCTTTGTGGTGGATGCTTGCTCCACATATCCTCCAAAAATATCTCCAATCATTCTTTGATCCCAGGGTATGTCTTCATGAGTTCCAGAAACTGAGGATATATTGATTGAATCATTATGACCTTCTTGAGAGACAAATTGTGAATCGGCAAATTGTGGTGTTTCAAATTGTACTGATTCACCATGTGACGTCCAAATATTATAACCAGCAACAAATCCATGCCGAAATAGATGAAGCTTAACAGATTCAACATCATAGAAACATCGATTAGTGCATTTTCGACATGGACAACGAATTTTTTGTCCACTCATATACTCATGCTGAAGAACAGCGAATTCAACAAAACTCTTCACACCATTTTTAAATGTATCAGAAACGATTTTTGTGGATGGATCGTATCTTTCATACATCCAACTTCTGTCTGATCTAAACATTTTGAGCAGATGTATTTGTTCATGTCTAAGTTAGCTTATAAATATAGATGTTTTTCGACGGAATAGGGACGGATAAAGAACAACCGAATGAGCTTGCGACCAATTACACACGGCTCAGCGACGGAAAATTTGCAGCCACTTTAGCGACGGAATTGCGACGGTTAATTTAAATATCCGTCGGTAATCCGTCGGTAAATCCGTCGGTAATTACCGACGGTTTTTTCCGTCGGAACCTATCCGTCGCTTTTTGACAACGTTTTTGTAGTGATACACACTCGCGCGTTAGAGTATTATGCTATTATTCCATCGTACTAATAACCAAGTAGCATTATAAAATCTATACTAATATAAAAAGGGAAACCAAGTGAATAACGGAACCGTAAGCCATACAATTGTTCGCGTCTCATGACATTATTTGCACATGACGTGATATGATGTTTGTTTCATATCATCACGTCGGTTACAAAAAAAAGGCACAACTGTGTTTAAAATGGAAGTGGAAATATGGAGTACTATATACCGAATATAAAATGCCACGCACCGAGCAGATAAGTGATGTTTCATCGGTTCCTCAACTTTTCTCTGTGGTTTACGGTAGTAGACTTTTCACTTTTTGTGAGTTCTGTTTTATTCAATATTAATTCATCCTAGAATATTTACAAGTAAAATTTGAATAAATCATGCACCACGTCTTCACATCTTCACGTTTGAGTTTAATTAAGTTGCCTTTTTGGGCATCTTTTCAGATACAACGATCAAAGGTGTTTTGTAACAAAATGGGAGATAATTAATCACATGCTTCAAGAGTCAAAAGGGCAAGGTGGAAGCCGGTGCAATCATATACATGCGGTTGAGGTACGTAGTTTTTATCACACTTTTATTACTTCTGATCTACTGGGACTTACATTGAATTTCAAGATATTTTTCTAACATTAAGTTGCCTAAACTAAATATACTCTGATCTATATATCCTAGATGTAGACCGATTAGTTTTCAAGTGAAAAAATTGATTGCATTCGTTAATCTATATCTATATCTATATCTATATCTATATCTATATCTATATCTATATCTATATCTATATCTATATCTATATACGGAGTATATAATACGTAGTATAATAAAGCAAACCCTTAGAGAAGTATTTGAAGAAATTGTTGACATGTGGCAACACTCTTTATTGGAAAATCTGACATGTATCAACATTATGATAAATACTACTCCCTATTCATATATAGCATTTATCTAAAGTTCACAAAAATACATTATACGTACACGTACATGGCAAGCAATGTGTATATTTACAACATTTATATGTATTTATTTAAAAGGGTAGAAGAAATCTATTCAACTTTCCCAACTTCACATATACAAACCCTATTCAACTTCTAACCATTTATAAATAGATAGCTACTATCATTCATTCATTCATTCATTATTTTTACATCACTAAAAAACTATTATGTGAACAACAGTATCATACTTCCTTCGTCCCATCCTATTATTCTCACATTATTCATATGTTGTTTAAGTGCCCATTTAATCATCAAACATTAAAAGTAATACATTTATAACATGGAAAATTGCTCTAAATAGGAGTAAACGACTTTGGTAATTCCAAAATAGGAGTACTGTGTCTTTCTTCCCGAAATAGGAGTTATCACTGTCATGATTGAAAAATACTACTATTAAAGCATTTAAGATAAATAAACACATTTGTGGTCATGCATATATGCATGATATTACTGCTCACAAATATCTATTATTAGGACATAGTAGTGAAAAAATTAATGAAGGAAAACTCTTTCTTTTTAAAAATAAATATGCAAAAAATTCTATATTATTAAGTTATTGTTCCTGTGAAGCCAGCCTCACGCTTTCCCCTCCGATTTAATAACCACGAGATCTCAGCTTTCGAAGAAATCCCATTGGTACCTATTAGCTTGGATTGGGTGCGCAATTTTTCACTTCCCTTGACCCAGCCCATTTAGCAAGCCCAACGTCTCATCACCTTAACACTCCCACTTGGGTTACAAGTTCAAGTTCATGTTCCTATTATCAAAAGCTTAGAGCATCTCCAATGTTGTAATGTGCAGGTGCACACGTGGCATGAGAGATAGCCACATAAATATTAGTAAATAAATTCTTTCTCTCCTTATTTGAAAGACTTTATACAATTTTAGTAAGTTTTTCTCTACAA